GACGGTGCTGAACACGAGGCAGGCGGACGCGGAGGGACCGCTCTGCCCTGCCCAGGTTGGGGTGCCTGCTGCCCCCATCCCCAAGGAGAATCTGCAGCCCAAGCACTGCCCTGAGCCTCACCTCACCTTCCCCAGGTCTTTCAAGGTGCCCCCACCGACCCCAACCCGTTCCTCCTCCATCCCTGTGCAGGAGAACCAGCCTGTCCGGCAGGAGCCCCTGCCCAGGCAGCCTCACTCTCGGCCTCCCCTCCCACCTTGCTTCACCATACGACCTGCGGCCAAGGCTCGTGTGGGAGGAGAAGCTGAGCAAAGGAATTCTGCACTGAGACAGGTCACCACAAAGCCAGCTGTGCTGACACCCCCTCCACTGAGCCCCAAGCCAGGTCCAGGGCTCAATCCTGCAGGTCGCCAGTCCCCACTGCCACAATCTGAGGTGGAGAAGGTTCCCCAGCCGAAAACAGCCGAGAGGGACTCCCCTCCAAAATCTGAACCTCTCACTGCAAATGACCTGGATCTCCCCCCTCCAGACTACCCGACCTGTGAGGATGACTGGAATGATGACTGGAAGGATGCCAACAACCTGAACCAGCTGCGGAATGAGCTCTCGGCTCTGCTGCGCTCCCCACGCCGGGAGGAGAGGCCGATGGAGAAACCACCTGCACCCCAACCCATGGATGGTGGTACCAACCGTGCCAGCAGCCATGAGCCTGTTCTCAGTGAGCCCCAACCTGCCAGACCTGCTGGGAAGGACACAGGGTTATCCAAAGGAGGGGAGAGTGAGAAGAAAGAGGTGCCCAGCAGCACCCCCAGCACCAATGGGAGCTCTCCCAGCACAGCAGTCACTGCCCCAGAGAGCATCCCCACGGCGCCGACCCGCAGCGTGATGACAATCAGGAACGAGCTGGAGGCTGTGCTGTCCATGAAGAAAGAAGGGAAACCTGCCCCAGGGCTCAGCACCCAGAAGCAGGGAACTGAGAATGGCACCAGCACCCCACATGTGAGGAAGAGCCCCCCAGACCTAAGGAAGAGCATCCCAGACACGGGTGACTTAGTGCTGCCAAAACCGGTCCCCAACTCTCTCCCAGCACCGGTGGCTGCTGTGGGGAAGGATGAGACAGATGACAAGGACAAGGACCATCCCACTCCTGCTGCTAGCAAAGCCACAGAGGACTTGACCCCTACTCCTGGATCCCTCAACAGCAGCATCAGCACCCCAGACCCACCTCAGGGGCCAGCAGAGGAACCCCCTGCTCCTACCCCTCCCTCACCCCACGTTTCCCCCACACAGAGCCCAACACCACAGCCCAGCACAACCATCTTCCAGTACAAAGTGCACCGGGCCGAGGCCAGCTCGACCGAGCCACCTCGTGCCCCAGAGCCAGCTGAACCACCCTGTGCCACGAGCTCAGCCAGGAGCCCCCCGGGCACCTCGGGAGAGGGCCAAGAGGAGGTGCTGATCCACCCCGTGACGGGGGAGCGGGTGGAGCGTGGCTCCCCCATGGCTCTGCTGCTGGCAGCTCGGCAGAGAGCCCAGCGGGGCCGCCA